TACCCGTTACTGGTGTCATCCAACATAACGTGGCCGCCATGGCCATTGAAAATCCAAAGGGGGGATTTTCCAGTAAGCTATGTTCGATGACACCAGTAACGGGTAACGATGATTTTGATTGATTTTGAGGCAAGTTGTATCTATATGGGGGTTTCCTGAAAAAGGGGTACCCCCAAATCATCCATGTTAGTAGGATTTTCCCGAAAAAAACCATCCAGCTATTGGGTACTCCATTTATAGAACTCCCCATATAATTCTCATGAATTCCCTCCCAATGACTCGCATGAAAAACCAAAGCCTTTGGTTGACGAGGTGTGAACAAGCTGGTTTTGCGGCTTGGCCTTGGGTACTACCCATTGGGATTAAGTAGGTCTCCGGACCTATCTTTTATTTTGTGGGTTTTTTGTAATCCCCAAACAGATGGAAACATAGAATCCTACAAAAACAGGGGGTTACGGTTCTATCTGTTTTAGGGTGACTGTATGTCTTTTGGGTGGAAAATAGACAAACCGGCCAAACAGAATGGATAAGCCATGTGACAGAAACATGGTTTCAATCCTACGTCCGAGAACCATCTTCGACTACTGGGTTTTTTAGTGGGCCGAACGGTGACTGGTAGGGTTAGAAGGCTGGACATTGGTTAGTTATTCGGGTGTGTCTGAGAATGGGTGATTTATCCCCAAGTTTTGGCAATTAGGGGGGGGCAAATGATGATCAAACACAGCAAAGCCATATATTCACGGATGAACAAAAACCCCATAATTAGGATCCGGCTGGTGCTGGTATATTAATGCTAACATTTTTGGGGTATATGGATGGGATCCATGTTACCATGAAAAAATCGCAGCACCGTTAGGATCCTGGTGACATTCCAGTGACCCTTCCACTGACATGTTGGGGTTGGGCTAGGGGATAAGCCTAAGTGCATTAGAAAGCCCCTCAAAGCTGGTAACCTGGTAGATATTGATCACATTGAATTGTCACCCAGCTAACCAACAATCTTACCCTCTGGTAAACTACTGTAACAGTTTGCGAACTTGAAAATGGCCCATAGAAATCGTGGATTTACCCAGCTATAAAATGGTCATTTTCAAGTTCGCAAACTGTTCGTCATGACCAGAGGGTAAATTTCCAGAATCATCCCAACACTAAATGGTCATTCTTGGTCGTTCCTCCCGTTCGTCCCATTCGTGTAACGTTCGTGCGTCCCGAATTCGCACCGTATTGAGCCCAGAATCCCAGGTGTTTGGGGACACTGAATCCAAAAAAAAAATCCATTATGTGTTGGTGAAGATCACCTTTGTTATTATTCATAGATTACCCCATCATTATTATGAGATGATTATGAGATTGTTGGGTGTATATTAATATCCCATTTTATCCCCATGTATACTATTGTATACTCCTATATCATGGTTGATTTATATGCTTATTTTTCAATCACTCACTGATTAAATCCCAATTCTTCATGGCTAAATCCAACAACATCACCTAAGTTTGTTGGTTAAATCAAATCATATAAATCCCATTTCAGATCCCGAAATCACCATGTTTGATGGTCGAATCTCTATGCTCGATGGTGAAAAATCCAAAGGTTTTGCTGGTGAAATCCACGTTTTCAACATTCTTTAGTTGCAAATCTTATATCAATCCCATTGAATCCATTCAAATCCTACCCAGATGCAAACCATGGTGCTGGCATATAAAAACCTAGATAACTGAGTCATTTTTGGGGTTTTTATGTAGGTAAATCATCCATGCATGGAGCATCTGGGCTATATAAATGTGATGAACTTCCCATGAAATAGCTATCGCCATGGATTTCCCAAAGATTTCCAAGTGTTGCAACCCCCTGGTGCGAGGCATTCCTATCGGTCCAAAGCCCAGTTGCTGGAGAAACTCCTCTCGGCATTGGTGGATGATACGCCACACGGCCCCACCCAGCGTTGCGGGGATTTTTGATCAACGAAGACATGGGGAGAGTTCGAAGGAAACAGGGGGAGTTTTACCAAGATGTGGGATTTGAATGGAATTTCATGGGATTTGTTGAAAAAAATCTGGATTTCATGGTATTACCCTATGGTAAATAAACATAGACCCTGAAAATGACAAATTTTTAGTGGAAACTAATCTTCCAACCCCCATCTGCCAGGGTCTATGTTAATTTACTGGAGGGTATTTCACCATGGTTTATTTTTATCCGGGGTTGATTCGATGGGATGTGGATTTTAAATTGCACCCATGGAGATTTTTCATGTCAACCCCGGATTTTTTGAAACCATGGTTTATTAGGAGGTGGCCTCCTAAAAAATGTTTTTCTTTAATGTCACTATATATGCTACATAAATGGTGGGTTGACATTACAACGCTTCAGAACATCCTGAAATATGGATGGGATGATCAAGATTGACAAAACGAACATTGACCAGAAAAAGTGAGGATTTCGGGATCAGAAATAGGTGTTTCACCAGAAAAGATGGGATTCAATGGAGTTGATATGAGATTACAACTGAGCGCTGCATCCTTGGGTTGTTTTTTTTGTTTTTTTCTATCTGATTACAGGGGATGAGCTCCATGGGGCTTCCGTTCGCAAGCGTTTTTTTATTTCTGATGGCGAAAACCTTTCAGGATTTCAAGGCGTTGATATAGGCCGCTCCTTATCCCACTGAAAGAACTGGGATATAGGCCACAAATTTGAAAGAACTGCTGGGTAGTTCGCCACCATTCGTAGGTTTTTTACACGGATTTTTTAAATAGATTGGAGGGTGAAGTTGGATATCTGGATCATCCAGATCTTCTGATCTTACCGTTTTCATGCGACATTTTCATGTTGGTCTTCACAATTACTTTGAGGGTCAAATTGGAATGATCCAGATGAAAATAGTGAGATGTGACTCACCTATTTCCACAATAGCTGAGATAGATACAGGATGAGATAGGACAATGATTTGCAACTGGGGGTTGTATTTGGCAGTGTAAGACATGTCAATACCGAAGTTGGTAAATGTTTAGTAGTGGGTTTGCAACATAATATAGTAGTACACATGTGTATATATATATTATATATATATATTATACACCGTACACCTTGTAAAATTAGAACACATTAAATGTATATATATATATATTGGGATATTGTCCAGCTACTCAGCAAAGATCATGCCAGCAGAGAGATCATATATCAGTTAGACTCAGATCATGTTGTCAGTAGCTCATGTGCCAGCAAAATACCTGCAGGTAGTGATAAGCTACCATGGCTCAACAAAAATGTGACAATGGCTTTTCTATGCGTCATGTGGTTTATGAATCCCATTAAATAGTTAAATATTGCCCATAAACCATAGTTATTGGACTTACCATAGCAACCTAGTAAAAACTTGTGGGGTAACTTACCAGATGGTGAAGCTGGCCTTCCAGTTGCTAACCGAGGTTCGGAACCGCTTGAGATTGGAGAAATGGCGCAGCAGTTGACCTGTAGAAGTTGGAGGATTTGATCTACCTGAAAGAACTATGGGGATTTATGGTAACTTAATGGGATTTATGGGGATTTATAGGGGATATAATGGGATTTATGGGGATTTATAGGGGATATAGTATAGGATTTACCATCTGGTTCTGACTAACAGTATGCGAACTGGAAAGATCCACCATGCTAGAAATAGGTATACCTTGGCGAACTGTTAAATAACCAGAGGGTAACGAAGAAAGGATGGGAGGTTGAATTTGATTCCTTGGCTTCTCCCCGGAAGATTTTTTGTTGATTTCTTAGCCCCGATCCCAGATGACGCCAAGTCTTTAAAAGGGATCACCCAAGTCGATCTGTGATCTTACATGCCAGTCTTACGAATGTCACCCAAATGTATTTTCCATCGACTACGACACGACATATTTATAGATACCAAGTTGATACTTCATGATTCTTAGGGTTTGGATACAGTTTGTCTGGAAATAGGCTACAGAATATGTTGGTTGATCATCATTTTACCATATTTTTCCCATTCAAAAGCATTCAGCAACGTGCTCCTTACAAAAAAGAAGGGGTTGCGCTTGGCCTACCATTCCCGCTTGGTGGCTTCGAAGATGATTTTATTGGCCGATTGTAATCCCCAACTGCGCGAAGATTTGGGATGGGTTGAAACCACATTGTTGTTGCCATTTCTGGCCTAACAGGCTTATCACATCAGAAGATTCAATTTGATGGTGTTTACCCGAAAAAATCGTATCTCGAAAGCCAGGTACATGGTAGGTACCCATGTATTACGTGCCAGTTCCGACCGTCCAGCTATGAGCTGACTGGGGGGTTGTTTCCAATATTCTCCAGTCTTGAAAAAAGGAACATCCCAACTTGTGAAAGTGAAATCACCATGTTTTGTTCTTTCTAGGTTGGTCTGAAACTTGAATATACCCATATCCTGAACACGGTAATTTTGATTAGGAACATCATGATGAAGCTGCAGATTTAGGGGTACCCAATCTTCAGACAAAGCCATATATGCAGGAGGCTGATCAATAGGGAAACCAGTGCAGGAGGAACGAATGTGCAACTGAGGCTCCCCAAATGGTTCATCGATGGACTACTCATTTTGTTTATTGAGATGATTGGTGATGTCCTGTAAATCTCTTGATGGTCTAGGTGTCGTTGCGTGAGTGTGGATCCCAATATACTATATGTAACATTATGTAACTATATGATTTCCACGAATCTCAACATTTATTGAGCACACTTCTAAGGGGACGTTGGCATGTTGGATTCTTCTTGTTTGTTGCCGCATTTGAGCTTCGCAGAGAGCATTGATGACCTTGAATCAGAGTCAAGGCTTCAGGTGTCACGGAACCGGCATAAAAACCCGTTGAAAACGCTGCGAAAAACATCCCATTGTGAATAAAGGCCCACAAAAAACATGTTTTAACATGTTTTAACCATCCAAAAAATAGCTGCAGGATTTTATGACTTTCAGCGATTTTTCATCACTTTCCATGGCTAAATTCTACGTTTCCCCCGCTGCTCCGACCATTTGAAAGGGGGCGTTTCGACCTGGGCACCATGGCCATGCATCGTAGCGGTCGTAGCGCAGCCCTCCTCTTGGCATTGGCAAGCTGCTGCGACTTGGAACGGTTTTTTGGACATCCCACCTGAAATTTATTAAAGGGCTTAATAGGGCATAAGCCATAATCCATATACAGTATATAATAGTATATATATGATTATATATATATTATTAGATATTATTAGATATTTATATTAGGGATATGACAATACCTAACTTTGTTGTAAGTTGGTGAAATTACTAGCCCTAGCAACACTTCACCAATGGGAGAATCAGCCCTTTGGTTGGATGATTTTTCAGCTTGCCACGATATTCCATGATGTGCCCATGGAGTATCCCCATGTTATGCTTGCGAAATCCTGAAGTTGATGATCCTATACTCCCATGATTTTACAGGATGGGCCCCCCAGTTCGTTAGCTAAGTTGGTTTGTAACTATATATACTAACAATACTTATTTTTGAATGGCCATAACTGTAAGAACTGTGATTTTTGTTGGATATATCTATAATAAACTATCTATAGTATAATAGATATGGTTTGGGTAAATTATAACAGCCTCACTGCGACCGAACCCTGGAATCATGGTTAATAAGAGGAATCATCCCCAAGATAGCCGCAAGTTTCAGGTTAGTGAATTATTATAATTTACCTAGAATAGTGTATGATACACAAATAACTATATTTAGATGGGGTTATAAACCAACTTCTAACTGGGGAGGGCCCATCCTGTACGGTGTTTCATAATTACCGTTTGGAGTTATCCTGCCCGGCGCAGGATTTCGCAACCATCAGTATGGTTGGCTCAAATTTCCGCATTATATAGAATTGAGCAGCTCATTTAAGGATCCCTCCACTAGAGGCTCATTTAAGTCGTCCATTTAAGTCGTCCGTCACATCATTTTATCATATGATAATCAGTATATTCTAGGTCAATCTTAGATGGATACAAACTAATCCTTCAGTCTTTTGGCATCAATGGGAATATCTAGGTTCACCAGCAAAGAATTTGTCATTTTTTGCCAGGCATCTAAGATTGGCAATGTCTTCAACTACAAAATGATGGAATCAGCTGAGTTGCCAAAACAGCCAACAACTCTTCAGAAAAGCATGATGAATCCAATGAACGTCCTTAAAATCGCCAGTTTTGAAGTTTTGATCTCACAAAGCCATGGCAAAAATGTTGACAACGTGAAGATGTTTCCAATGATACAACTGATGAACACTTTCACACCCTTCCAGTATTTCATGCCTTGTCCATAGTAGGTGTGTGCAAATTGCCCAGGGTCGCTACCACGGCTACTTCAGCTTGTTTAAATACCAGCATTTTCTCCAGTCATTGGTTTTTTCACGCCTGTCATGGTTAAATCTCATGATAGTATATCCCATCAACATCCATCAATATCCACTAATGTGCATCAATATTCATCACAAGGTGGGGCCCTCAAGATAGCTAAGTTGACTAACTTGGCGAAGCAGGGTTTATGAAGGGGATATAACTATAGTATTCATGGGCTTTACCAACCAACAGACATAGCGTTTGGGGGCCCCATATTCATCGACATTCATGATATAAAGTAAGTCCACGAACAGTGGTAATATTCTCTATTTATTTCTATTCATAATTTTGCATAGTTGATGATCATCAAATCCCATCAATATTCATGTGGTTTATAAACCAACATATACAAGAAAGTAATAGTCCATCAATCAATGGCCATCTCAGGATCCTAAATTGGAGGTACCTACCATATATAAGGACTATTTTTCAGGCCTAAATTTCAGGGAATATCCCCACAATTCGTATGGCCAAATATATGGTACTAAGTTAGTACCTCCATGTATAGGATCCTGAAATTCCCATTGAATCAATAACAACATTACCCTCTGGTAAACGTTTACATAACTATGGAAAATCACAATTTTTTATGGGAAAATCCACTATAAATGGCCATTTTCAATAGCTATTTTGACATAACCAGAGGGTAAATCCCATTAAATTACCAGTAAATCCAGCTAAATCCCATTAAACCACCATTAAATCAACTCATCACTCGTCCACGAACAAAGAAGTCCCACTGGCCTGGGCCGCCCAGGCCTTCAGCTCCACCTCAGCGCCGAACGCTCAAGGCCTGTCTTCACGCCGCCCTTGCGCGGCCGCGCGCGGCTCTTTTTGGACACGGCGCGGCGGGTCCACTGGAACTCCACGTATCACACGGGGGGATCAATGGCTGGGAACTCCACAAACTAGAAATGGTCAGTGGTTGGTTGTGGGTTGGTTGTACACAAACCAAAAAACCCCATTACAAAACTAACATTGGACGAAATCTAAACTGGTCCTAAAGTTTTTCCGGGGCGATATTCAGTCCAATGTAGTTCACGACACGTCAGGAGATTCATTGATTTGGTGCTATTTTCTTCTCTTACCGGAGAGTATACATTTATATCCATATACTATATACCCTCTGGTAATTTAACATAGCTATTGAAAATCACCATTTTCAATGGGTAAATCCACTATAAATGGCCATTTTCAATAGCTATGTTAGTTTACCAGAGGGTACTATATAACCACCCAAAATGGTAGAACAGTGATTGTGAATTTCACCTTTTTTTTTAAAGTTCCAATTTACTTTTGGATCTTTTTGAGGGGGTTGCTATAACTTATTCCTAAGCTGATATATGTTATAGAATAGCAAAGAATAAGCATAGACGATGTTAAAACTCGTTTCTTAAAGTGAATATCTTGTGTAAAATTGACATTGAGGAAGATTAATATTACATAATATTACTTTGATGTGTGTTATGATCACCTTAGGGGTGGATACATGAGTAAGTTGTGAGGATTATCCACCCAGAAGGGACTATGGACTGTCAGGTTATCAAGCGCATATCCCCATTGTTATTAAATGTTATTAATCATTAGATTATATATTCTACATAGATCTAATGACATATAATATACATATCATATATTTTTTGTAAACATATCATAAAACAACAACAACAACAACAACATTCTTTTTCTGGTCATATCTTTGTTGTTCCTTGGGATTTCCATGGAAGTCGTCAGGCTCAATGTGGATAAAACAATACGAAACCATCCATGACTGGGAATGGTGAACATACCACCTATTTATATATGGTGATTGGGTGATGGTTTATTATTGTTTTACCCACATTATATATAATTGTATATATATTATTTGCTTTTAATTTAGTAATTCATAGCCTATCTAGTCAGTATATTCCTCTAAATTTAATTCAGCATGGAACAGGACCCTATCCACTAGGAAAATCATCTGCCAACGCTAATTGAGTGTTCCAAGAGATATTTCTGGGATGTAAATCATTGTAAATCCGTCAATGATAAACCATCCCCCAGTCCGCACCATAGATAGGTGGTATGTTCACCATTCCCAGTACTGGTTACCCTCTGGTAAACTAAGAGTTTGCTATTGAAAATGGCCCAGTCGAAAGTTCGTTGATTTACCCAGCTATAAAATGGTGATTTTCAATAGCAAACTCTTAAATTACCAGAGAGTATCTGAAAATCCTGGGTTGTTACATGTTTTGGAGAATTTCTGGGCCCAGTAAAGATAGCAAACTGTTATATAGTTTACCAGGGGGTAATCATCATATCTTCTCTATTTACCGGCCTTTTCGGGATGTCGCGTCACAGAAGCTCGGTTTTTTTTCAGCAGAGGCGGACGTCAAGGCCTACGAAGAGTTGCTACCCTTGGGCTTGTTCAGCGGTGTCACCACCAATCCCGGGACGCTTGGTCGGGTTGACTTGTGACCTTGGGAGAGTTGGATACCTCGGAACAGCCTGGCGAAAACCGTCTGTTAAAACCTCTCAATGTCTGAAAAATAGAGAAGATATGATGATTTCCCTCCTGGTAAACTATATAACAGTTTGCGAACTTGAAAGATCCAGCATTTTATAGCTGGGTCAATCAACGAACTTCGACTGGGCCATTTTCAATAGCAAACTGCTACTGGATGAAACATTGATGAACCATGATCTTGGATGTTCTGAGTCGATTTCTGGTGTTTTCGGAAGATTTGTTCCAAATGGAAATCGACGAGTTGACTGTGGAATCGATTAAGGGAATATACCCTCTGGTTATGACGAACATAGCCATGGTATAGATGGCCCATTTATAGATGGTTTACCTATTAAAAATGGTGATTTTCCATGGCTACGTGAAATAACCAGATGGTATCATCTATTTATCTATTTTGGTTCCTGCATCTCCAAGATGATGAAATCCAAGATTTTTAATCCCGGGCCCTTCGAAAAGTGGATCGCATCGACAGGATCCTGTCAAAGGATAAAGTCTCCTGCACAGTGGACTCCCTCAAAAGTCTGGCGGAGAAAGCCTTGAGTGACCTGGCTGATGATTGATCTGGGAATCTAATGATATCCATATAAGAATGGAACTAATATCCATAATAATAGCCATAAATTGCCATTGATGTTTAAGAATTTAGACCCATATCATAAATTGAGCAGTGTTCAAAACCCCTGTTGGTTGATGATTAGTTCGGGGATTATACTACCCTTTATATATTAGGGATTACAATAATCCAAGAACGGGGAATCCCTATAAACCAACCAGTATAATGGAATGATAGGGATTTTGAACACTGCTCAATTGGAATTGATGTTAATACACGATCCCACAATGGAACTAATATACATTCACACAGACTAAATGGATACAGAAAACTCAGAAGTGGTGGATTTTCCATTGCCATGGCATTGCCATGTTCAATTACCAGAGGGTATACCTTGCAACGACAATTTTCGTTCGGATTGCTGAAATCTGCTATAGGCACATGATAGCCACAGGTGTTGGGAGCACCCCTGAATTTTGTGGGCCCATTGGCCCATTGGTACCTCATTTTCAAATATGTTTGAACCACAGCCAATCAAAACCACAAGGGAGGCAGGGTTTGGGCTATTTTTAGTGCTGAATCCTATGTATGAGCTGTGGGGTTTCGACCCCTGCTTAATCCATCAAAACTATCAAAACCCCAGATTATACGCCCTTAAATTTAGCATAGAACCCCACTTCAATGGTCTGGAAGATAAATTTCAGATTGGATGAAACCACTCTTAGGTACCATGTTAAACTTAGGGGATGTACCCATCCATTTCTCATTGATTAAATCCATGTTGTTAAGGATCAAATTCCGATAGGGTAGGTATCTAACCATATCTCTCCAGGGTCGATTCCTCCTGATTTATACATTGAGTAAACAAGTGGGTTGTTTAACCAACTAAGATGGAAGCTCAACCTGAAAAGTGGTGGTACAACCAATGAATCATGGGCACATAGGCTACTTCTCGGTATTTTTTTCGAGAACCGAGAGTAAAAACAGAAGTCCGAGATAGCTAAACTAATCCCAGGTATGTTTTTTTTTCCTAAGCACATTGACTTGGAGGTTTCCTAAGTCATGGGGGTATCCCCAAATCATCCTTTTCAATCGGATTTTCCATTATCAACCAACTATTTTGGGGTACCCCCATGACTATAGAAACTTGAAATTTTGGGAGACGACTGCGGGTCAAAACACGCTGAGGCTATACGGATGAGTTCATGTGTCAAAGCTGGGGCAAGGAGAGGGTGCTGGACGTGGCTGTGGATACTGTGGTCGCATGGGGTCGCCATAGTCATAGGGGGGTAGAAATTTCATGGAAAATCCATCTATAAATTGGATGATAACTGGGGTACCCCATGACTGAACGGAAACCTCCATGACGGCGGATTTGTAACCATCCAGTAGTGAGGATATGATATCACTGGATTTGTTACCACTCTTCATAGTGGAGAATCCCAGATCAAACTAACTATGGAACTATGGATATGACAATGGGGATGTATGATATCACTGTGGATTTGTTGAGGTAGAAATTACTCACCGATATACAATCAAAAACGATGGAACACGGAGGCATAGAATGGTTTAAAGATGTTTAAACCAACAATTTGATGGAATCATACAATGTGAGGCCCCCCAGTTATAAGTTGGTTTATAAGCCCCAGTAACTATAGTTATAAATGCCATGAACCACAGTTATTGGACTTATAAACACTCTTAGCTATCTTGGGGGCCCCACATTGTATCAACATGGATCAACTATTGGTAAGTGGAGGGAGCGGTAAGAGCAGCTGAGCGGCGTTTTCTTTCCCCACTTGCAATCTCTAGACTCCACCAGACATCGGGAACACTTTTTTTTTTGGGGGGGGTGGTTCCTCAAGTAAATTCAACTCTGTTGCGTAAGATCCTGAAACTCTCGCTCTTTCTGCAGATTCATGTGGTAAACCCAATGCCATGGTTACCATCCCGAAGTCATCAGCACTCTTATGGGTTCTCTGAATAGGAACCATTGATGTTAGGATAGAATCCATATCCTACAGGATGGGGCCCCCTAGTTATAAGTTGGTTTATAAGTCCATCTACTGTAAATATAATCATAAGTATCATACACTATTGTTATTATAGTTATAAACCAACTTAGCTAAATATGGGGCCCCACCGTAGTGTCAGATATATTCAGAATTATTCAGATAGAATCCACCTAACCTATGACATGAGGATAGAAACCACTAGCTTTTCATCTCACTTTTCCGTTTCAGAATCCGAAAATGGGCTCGTTTCCAGAGCATTTTCTGAAATGATGGCAGGATGAAACGAACTTTTATGAGACCGGCCTCAAATTGGCCGATATCGACCGCGAGAAGGTTGTGGTGAAGGTGCGAGTTCGCTTTTTTCGGATCAAAAAAACTGGCCATCTCTATATGGGTTCCATAGTCATGGGGGTACCCCCCTATTTGTGGATGGTGTATTTAATTAATGGAACATCCATCTATACATGGGGGTTTCCATCAATGGGAATGAATCCCCAATAGCTGGATGGTTTTTGTAATGGAACATCATATTAAAATCTATTAAAATGAATGATGACTGGGGGGTAGCTCCATGAAAATTCGGTTCAACCTCCATTTTTCTAGCCTCCGGCAAGTTGGGAAATCCATGGAAATACTCAGAGGTTTTACCCGGCCTGGTAAACATACAAAAAGCTATTGAAAATGGCCATTTATAGTGGATTTACCCATTGAACATGGTGATTTTCCATAGTTATGTTAGTTTACCAGAGGGTAATGTGTTTCTATCTCCAAGAATCTAGAAATATATAGAAATATGAAGTTTATAGCACCTATAAAAAATGGTGATGACTGGGGAAGGTAACCATGGCATTGTTTTGCTCACATTAACCGCCAGGTCCCAGCCACTTTGGAGGGAGTCAAGGCTGGCCGATGGGTAGATTTCTACAGCCGGGCCCGGTGGGGGCCCCGTTTACGCTAAGTCGGTGAACGTATCTCAGATAACAAGGGTTTATGGATGTTTATGGTAGATAGAGCCGGAGTCAATATGAGTTAGTGGGGTTTATAAACCAAGATAATCCTATGTAATGCCTTTTTCTAGAGGACTGGGGGCCCCACCTTTCTTCAGATGGTAACAAAAACCAGCAGTCGCAACCTGCAGATCAAAACAACTGATGTATCTCGATGTATTTCGGGCTTGAAATCCTCATTCCTACTTGGTGGCTCATCCCACTTAGCAAGTGGGTTATAACCCCAGTTATAAATGGGATAAGTAGGCTTAATCCACTGAAATAACTGGGGTTATAACCCACTTACGATTCGTGGGATGAGCCACATTCCTATCATTTTGTCTCCATGGAAACAACGCCCCATTTTCCGCGGCGTGAAGAAATCCTGCCGCGTTGAAGGCAGCGAAGCGCTTGTTGGAAGATGGCGTGCGCGTGTGTCTGACCGCCTGCTACAGTGCCAAGCAAGCGCTGATCGCAACGGGTGACATGGCCTCGTTGGGTTCCCCATACGGATGGTATAACCCAGCAACGGATGGGGGGGGTCCTAAAATGGGTCCCCAAGTCGCCATAGGTTTCAAAACTCACACGTTAATGAGTTGTTCTTTTAATTTTGGATGATTTGTCACATCCCATTTGCAACAGGATGTACCATCCTTTCAATTAGGATAGACCTAATATAGGCTTGGAAGAGAATTCTTTCCTCTGAACATGGGCTATTCTCAGTGTCAAACTGTTGGAATCTGTTGGAATCTGTTTGTGTTGGGCGATGAAAAACCATCAAAAACCATCAATATCCATATATATATATATTATATATATGTATATATGATATCCCATTCATATCTACATTCAGTACATAATCAGATCCATTGATATCAGATTCATAAACCAACCATGCCACGCAGCTTGTGATCCCATTGATATCGGATTCATCTCGGAGATGCACAAATTTTTGCATGGGATCGATGATGAATTGCCATGAAATCCCCAATGATGATCCCAGAAAACTCCAGAGAAAAATCACCAATAATCACCCGGCCTGGTAAACGTTTACAGTTTGTGAACTGGAAAGATCCACCATGCTATTTTCATGGGAAAACTCACGATTTCGACTGGGCCATTTTCAATAGCTTTTTGTCAGTTTACCAGAGGGTACTTGGATTTTCTTTTCGATCATTTGGCTTGGCTTTTCCAAATGGGAAACCCACGAGTTAAATGGGTTTTTGATTAGGGTTGTTGAGTTGTTCTTTTTTGGGAGTTCCTGGATCGGTGGCAAGATGATGTTTGGTATTCTTTGGTGATCCAGCAAAATGCTATTCTATCATATTCTATATCTATATAGTTATCTCATTGTTATATATATATAGTTAATATAGTTATATAGATAATTATAGACTATATATATATATATATATCTGGTTGGTGGTTTCAACGATTTTTTATTTTCCATAATATATGGGAGAATCCTTCGCATTGACTTTCATATTTTTCAAGATGGTTAAAACCACCAACCATATATATATAATATATATATATATATCACATATTTCTATCTAATTCTCTAAGCGGTACGAATGACGTCCACATGATTCCCTTTCAGCCGTCCCAGGCTTGGGCGTGGAGTACGTGGCACCCTACCTGGGTCGGATGAACGACAACCGCAAGGTGGCTTTGCCCTGATGATTTCACCAGAGAAATTTGGCCTCTGGTAATGACCATTTCAGTTTGCGAACTTGGTATAGATGGCCCATAGAAATAGTTGATTTACTGATTTACCGAACTCAAAGATGGTGGATCTTGCCATAGTTTTTTGTATGTTTACCAGAAATATAGCCATCAAAGAGGTTAGTTGGATATTTTTTACTATGACAGTCGTATTGGTTCAGTGAGGATCGAACTGATCCCTCAGCATCAAAACTCGCAGCAGCTGTGATGAAAAAAGCAGGAAAGAATGGGTGGCGTTTTGCGATGCTATGCTAAGCAAAGTCTCTGTTTTCTGACCGTATTTCCATGGCCAGGACGGTCTGAAAAGTTCATTGAAATCCATTGAAATCCGACATTTTTCCCCGAGAGCGTCTGAGCGAAGGGTTCTTCTAATGGTGGGGGTCTGTCAAACATTTTCACATCTTCACATCTTCTCATCCTCACATCTTCACATTCTCTCTTGCCCTCTTGCTCTCTTGCCCTCTTGCTCTCTTGCCCTCTTGCTCTCTTGCCCTCTCGCTCTCTCCTTCTTTTCTATTTCTCTCTTGAAGGCGCGGGGCAGTGCCAACGAGACGGCATGAAACGCAACCCTTTCGCACGAAACGAGGTTCGATCCCCCAAAACTGAAGTAAAATTGCGATTTTACAACCTCGGCGGCAACCCTTTCGCACGAAATGAGGTTCGATCGCTAAAAACTGAGGTAACATTGCGATTTTGAGTGTGCCGCGGCAACGCTTTCGCAATTTAGTGGCCGGTGGAACTCAATTTAGTGGCCAGCACCATGGCCACCATGCCCACCATGGCCTGAGGATGGCTTCGATCAATGCTACAAGATGCACGAAATCGTTGGGGGCATCGGTGGCAAGACCCGGGTTTTGGTGGCATCGCTGCGGGATGTGGTGAACATGCAGGTTTTGGCGCAGAAAGGCCCGGGCTGGGGGATGGGGGCTGGGGTTCCCGGTGGGCTGAGGAGTGAAATGATGGGTTTGTTGCCAATCCAACTGAAGATGGGGGAAATGATTAACATGACACTGGTGATCACTGGTGACTTAGAACTAGCCTGGGAGATACTATATGTGGACAGACGTGGACAGAAACCATTTATGAAACATTTTGCGAAGCTTCGGAGAATTTCGCACGGATGCTGTTCAGGATCAAAGCAATAAGATTCTGTTTAATGCTGTTGATGTTTTTTATTGTGGAACAATTTTTCCAGCCACCTTCCAACCCCGAAGCGGGCCAGATATTCTGACAGCGGGCCGCGGGTATCTCCCATGGTCAGGACTGGATACCTTCACCTTTTCTCCCAGGGTGGCCACGCAACTCCTGGAGGTTGGGGTCGGCGAAAATCCAGCATGACTTTGAAAATCCATGGTTGATTTCATGTGATTTATCTATATTCAGAATGTGTTTGATGGGTGATTTTTCATGTTTTGTCTAAGTTTCTTTGTTTGCTGGGATTGTGTTGCAAAGTGAAAACATACTCAAGATTACGGATTTTTTCAAGGAGGGATAGGTTTGTTGGTAGGGGAAAACTCTCCCGTTCTATTGTCAGGGTCTATTTCTCATTTGGAAAATTTGTTATATTCTGCTCATTTTGTTTTAATCATGGCTTGGTAACTTTCTGGGATGGTTAATGTGGTTAATGTACCAAAATTTATATCAAATTGATGGTTAATTTACCAGATTGATTTCCTAAATTAAAACTATCAGTGAATTGCAACATTTGGATACATTTGGTCACTGGACCTGAGAAAGTGGATGTTTTTAAATTGAATTTATGTTTATGTAACAAAAAATGCGAGGATAAGAGGGTTGGATCAAACATTGAGCACCTCATGACATGGACCTTGGCCATGGCTGGTGATGAGTACCTTTGGTGGCCCCAAAAACGGGTAGCTAAATTGGTTTTTCTTTCGAAGTCCAATAACTAAATAGTTCTTTGGGGAACCATCAAGTCATTCGGGATTATAGAATGTTATAATATATATATATTTAATGTATATAATGTTATATAATGTTATACACTAACTTAGAACGGGGGGGGTGGCCACGCCACCGCGAAGAAAGCATCACCTTTTTTTCACGGTTTTAGTCGCATGGCGCCGGGTCAAATTCGACCTGATTTCTTGCGGTGCCAAGGAGACTCCATTTGTGTCTCATGTCCTCTTTAAAAAGAATGCAACATGCACATGCACATGTTATTTCATACTATTTCTATTAGTCTTCATAGAGTCAGTAACACTTTGTGTCACAAAGCTGCACTACAATGACAACAACTTCATACATCTCCCTTTCCTGAATACTTATCTCCACCGCGTTTCCTGGCGTCGTTACGCGAAGCTCGCAGGAACCCCTGACAGACAAGGCCGCCGAAGAGTTCGAAGACTTCGTGTGATGCCACTAGTGACGGCTGCCCCAAGCGGAGAGGGTTCGGGGAGACCAAGTGTTTGTCGTGGTTCGGTGGTACCGGGGCTAGTTTAGAAGTATTTTTTTAAGATATGAAAAGGTACAAACGAGTATATATAATAAACTGGTATTACTATGCATGTAATTATATGAAATGACATAAGTGCAAATATATAATACATATAGTAGGTGCAAGCAAGTATTTATAGATCGACAGTCGGAATTATGTATGTAGATGATTTCAGTACATCTATAATAAAAAGTTAGCCATTGGACATGTTCTTAGTGTACCATATTCCCGAAGAAACTCTACTAATAGCCTCAGGCGGTCACAGTTTCATAGGATCCACTCCGCCGTTGGCCGGGCCCCTGGGGCGTCCCCTGGGGGCCCCCTTGGGGCCCTGGGAGGTTCATCCAGAGTTGCAGAATTGTGTACCTCAAAAGTTAGTTGGACGGCTGAAAAATGTGGTGCCTTTGATTATGACCATATGATATCATATAATATCATATAATATCATATAATACCATATAATATCATATAATATCATATAATATCATATTTTACATCAGATAATATCATAGAATATACACGCCATACAGAATATACATAATATAGATAATATACATAATATACAGAATATAGATAATATAGATAATATAGATAATATAGATAATATACATAATATACAGAATATACATAATATACAGAATATACATAATATACATAATATACATAATATACAGAATATACAGAATATAGATAATATAGATAATATAGATAATATAGATAATATACATAATATACAGAATATACATAATATACAGAATATAGATAATATAGATAATATAGATAATATAGATAATATACAGAATATACATAATATAGATAATATAGATAATATAGATAATATAGATAATATAGATAATATAGATAATATAGATAATATAGATAATATAGATAATATAGATAATATAGATAATAATTTTAATGCCATGTAACACATAATATATATATATATATATATATTTTTAAATACACACCAGACTGGCTGCCAGGGGGTGCCTTAGATTTTCCAGCTTCCTGGGATGAAACAACAGATATGGTTATGTGGGGCCCCTAAACGTTATATATAAGTTGGTTTATACACCCCATGAATACTATAGTTATTTGCGTATGATAAACCAAAGTTAAACCACTTATATCTCAACTGAACGCTATCTAGCCAGGGCACCACATTGTAGGGCATGACTTCCAGAAATAGGGAACAACAATGGTGGTTTAATGGGGGGATATATGGGATTACCATAGGGTATGTTCAATTTATATCAGTGATGTTCACCACTGCACTGCACCATATTTTTGGCCATATTTTGTTGGGATATTCCCTGAAATTTAGGCCTTATATATGGTAGGTACCTCCAATTTAGGTTCCTGGAATGGCCATTGATTTGGGGATGTTTTCTAATTGGATTTACGATAGTTTATACTCCAGAAGTCTCTACAAATGGAGACGCCAAAAACATCAAGTCCGCCACAGAAACACATATTTTGCACACACCCACGTCTTTCCTGGATGAAGCCTCCCTGAAGTTTCTCAATTCAGGACTTGGCCTGGCCATTGATTTAACTGTGGCCTGGCAGGTCCCCACATATTCTGTTTCCAGAAGCTATGAGTCAACCAATAGTCCATTGGTGGTGTGGGATACGAATTTCATTCAGCCACGGGAAAGAACACCTGAAAACCCTGTGAGACCTGGAACCATACCACCAACCAGCTGTTGAAGAGAAATCTTGAATGTGAAAAGAGATCTGCCGACAGCTTCCGGTTTTTTCCGCCAGTGGCATCTGTAGCCGCACCCTCTAACAGTATGGCTATTGAAATAGTTGATTTACCAGAGGGTATGTTTTTTCCATCGTTCTTTAGCCGTTTTACCTATTGAAAATAGCTATTTACCTATTAAAAATGGTGATTTTCCATCGTTTTTTGGGATGACCAGGCCGGGTCACTTTTATGTTTGAGACTCGATTCAGGATTCAATGGGGTGAACCTCATGGAAAATCCCTATGGATTTCCATGGAGGTTTATAGCTGGGAAAATCATCTGTTTCTATGGGCGCTTCCATAGCTGTTTGACCAGAGGCTAGTTCCACTTATAATTTTTCATTTTCAACCACAGTTACAACCACCGTTTCTTTGGGGTCATGTTTGATCGAATGGTCCGAATGGGGCAAAAAAACATTATGCCTTTTCAGGAGGGAAGGAGATTTCGCTGGGTCATGGAGCCTAGAAGTGACCTATAAGTGACACATGCCACGTCTATAGTTTCTGAGGAAAATCCCCTGGGGAAGAAATCTGATAGGTCCCTCTTGGGTAGTACAAGGTGGTGCTTCCCAGTTGAAACTTGGTCTAGAAATTTGATCATGACTTCACATCTTGGAATTCATCACTGGAATGATGCCATCTATGCAAAGGGAATCATCGCCTGAAATTGCCCTATTTAACAGCTATTTTCAGGTCAATTACCCTCTGGTAAACTAACATAGCTATGGAAAATCACCATTTTTAACGGGAAAACTCACTATAAATTGCCTTTTTCAATAGCTATGTTAGTTTACCAGAGGGTAATTTAGTCAGAATGTGTATACACCATTATACACCATCAACCAATATCCACTTCACCTGGGCCAATTTTTTTCACCACTTACCTTCCTGCGATCAAACGCCGCAATGGGAAAGCATCGATAACTATATATAGTGGTTTTAGTGGGACAAGCATTGAACTAATTCGCCGAAGTCACCTTGTTATGTTCACCAACTTACGTATCATATAATTCCATGAAATTCCACTAAATCCCATGAAAATCCCATGAAATTACATTGAATTTCATGAAATTCCGCTAAATCCCATGAAAATCTCATGAAATTCCGCTAAATCCCACTAAGTACCATTAAATCATCATGACATCCATCCATTTCTCGTTGCTTCAAACGGCTCGCAGCTGAGCGGCTCGCCGCGGGCCGTTTTTTGGCGCGGCCGAAAGCCATGGCCGGGGAGTACCGGCGGCTCGGTCGCTTAATTCATAAGGCCTTTAAAGGAAACTAGATTCGTTCGGGGATTATAAAACAAATTTTCGGGAAACACTGGGTTCTGAACACTACTACAAATTGGTACTTAAGATGGATAAAAAAAAGAATCGTAACTGGTTAGCAAGCATAGTTATATACCATGTCTGTTCCCCATTTTATTTGGAACAGCCCACGCATCGGCAACTTACAAGTCAGCAAGGTTTTTTTATTAGCCACTACTAAGTGGGACGATCGTGCAAGTATTTGGTCCCATAATCTTAGCATCCACTTTTTTTTCGCAGTTTGCTATGGGAAAGGGACCATTTCTAGAAGTGTTCCTAGTAAAAATGCTGCATATCAGTTAGTAATGGTTGATAATGTGAGCCAAAATCGAACAGCGTCTTGTTTTGTGTGGTTATTTTTTTCATAGGTGGTTGTGAAGCTACCCTCTGGTAAGCAAACATAGCCATTGAAAATGGTCATTTATAGTTCATTTACCCATTAAAAATTGTGATTGTCCATCGTTTTTTGTATGTTTACCAGAGGGTAAATCCCCATTATATCCCAATAAACCATTATAAATCCCTAGAAATCCTCATGGTATCCCTATATATCCCCTATAAATCCCATTAAAAATCCTCATTTTTTGGGGGGGATTCCGGATTCACCCAAAGCCCAAAGCCATACAAAAACCTTTGCCGTTGTCCTGGATCCCACCTGAAAGCGTTCAGTTGGTGCGTGCTTTTATAACTCCAATTACACTATGGGTTATGGTATAATAAAATCCCATTGACTATAGTTATAATATGTTATATATCATGTATATGTATATATATATATATGTATGTATATATATATATGTATGTATATATATATATATATATCTGGTTGGTGGTTTGGAACATGAATTTTATGACTTTCCATATATTGGGAAGAATCACCCCAACTGACAAACTCATATTTTTCAGAGGGATTGAAACCACCAACCACCAACCAGATGAGCTAGGAAATCTGGTTCTTAATGACACATTCATGGAATGACAAAGGCTAACAGTGCAAAATGTGAGGAAAAAATAAGTGTATCTTTATTTTTATAAGGCCTTTTTTGGATGTTCCACATAATTACTCAACTGGCTTGCAACATCTTAAAAAAAATGGTTATTAGCACATTACTAACTGGGATGCACTAGCAAATAGGGAGGTCGGTTTGGTTGGTTTTTAGTTGGGTGTTTGAAAACCGGGTACACCCCAAAATTGCAATTTAAATGGGATGTCAGACATATTACATCTGACTTTAAGTGATTTTACTTTTGGATGTACTTGCCCATTTTCACAAACCCATATGGTTTCAAACAAACAAAACATGAGGTTTATGAACAAATGAGAAGGATTGATAAGGATGATTGGTTGTTATCCACAATGATGAGTCTCTGATATTCAACCCCAACAAAACCATAAACCCAATGATGGTGGTTTTTGGATTGTTTTTGGGCAATTTGTTTTTGGATGCTAGGTGGGATATACTTGACCCGACTCGCCCGACTAGCCGAAAAAAATGATGGGATTTGAAGAACTGCAGGGACCAGCCGCAGGCATCAAGCCTTGCGTTTCCTTTCGTTTGATTCCCGAGCCATGTCTTGTTGGTGTTCTCGTATTACCCTTTGGTTATGACTAACAGTTCGCCATGGTATAGATGGCCCATAGAAATAGATGGTTTACCTATTAAAAATGGGTGGATCTTTCCATGGCTATGTTAGTCATAACCAGATGGTACATAATTTCCATATGTGTTTTTGTCTGAAAATACGGCTATAGGGTACCGTATCCCTAAATCCATTGGTCATTACCCTTTGGTAAACTAACATAGCTATGGAAAATCACCATTTTTAATGGGAAAATCCACTATAAATAGCCATTTCCAATAGCTATGTTAGTTTACCATAGGGTAATGATTTTCACCGTGACCAGCCAGCCATTTTTGCGTACTACCTATGAATCGAG